AAGTCAGTCATTAGGAATTTATATGGAAAATCAGTATGCATAATTTTAGTACATTCCGATATTATATAGACTATTCTGCCTGTGTATAGGTGAATGAATACGTGGGTTCGAAGTTTTAGTTCAATTAGTGGCCTCAGTTGTTCTATGAATTTCGGAATTTCACCATTTTCATGACAGGCTGTACAGTTATCTAGGCAGTAGAATGTCTTCCATAGATAGTAAATTATGGTTAATGTTAATTAGGATTTGAATATTTAACGTTAATCCTTAATATTTTCAGACTTTGGTCTAATAACTGAATTGTTCCTTAGCTGATTATTTAATTTTATTTATATAGTTTATTGGAGGGAGCAATCCATGACATATTCCCTTTACAGCTAGCATGTTTAGATTACAGTTATGGATAGTATTTCATATTTTGGCAACAAATGACCATTTATAGTTATTTTCACTTCTTTCCTTAGGCACTTATTTATATTTTGGTATATTGAACAAGAAATTATCCTGTTCTCTTTTATTAATATCAGAACGACTTATAAATTTGCAGTTTCTTCAGAAATTGGTCTACTCGCTCTTGATGTTCTGTTTGTTATTACTTCTACCTTACTCTTACTACTTAGCTATGGTTGTTAGAGTTTACTGTCACATTAAACTCCTTTTAGTGATCTTATGTTAGATATTCTTAGAAATTTGTTGTAGCTACCTGCTATAGTTATCGAATATCAGCATAAGTTAATTTTGTTGTAAGAAGTTACCACAGCAGTTCACACGCTTTGGTACTCTACCTTTTGAGCTTAAGTTGTTCAGCTTTGCATTTGCTAGGATGATTGAGTTTATAACACCTCCTAGTTTTTATTTTTGGTCTTTACTTTGGATCCTAAATGTACTGATGGCATATCATCAGGATGGAATCGATTTTATGGCTGTCCTTTTGTTTAGGCCGTTAGTCCCACATTTGGATCCAATAATTTATTTGATGAGTTTTAGGTTAGGCACATACTACCGGATGTGGGTATATGTGGACCTACCCTATTTGGTTATAGTGTGAATTGGGTCATTATTTGCCTGATTGATTATCTTTGGATATGCTACTTTATAAATCTGTTGTCCACTGTATGGTCAATTTTGGATTACCATCCAATTCGACACTTATATTGTTTTATATACGTTTAGTATTTTTATTGTTACGTATATTGTTTTATATACGTTTGGTATTTCTTATTGTTACTTATTATTGTGTATCGGTCCACCTATTTGCCTGATTGATTATTCCTTGGATATGCTCTCCTATAAATCTGTTGTCCATTGATGAGTCAATTTTGGAACCAGGGTCCGATTTCACATTATTTTGGATTATTTGTATTGAGCATTTGTATTACTAGTCTATACTATGCTATGTTAGAGTCTTACTTTACTTTAATTTTACTCTAAATAGTATGTGTAGTATGGGTATCTTTAGATGAAACCATTTCTTTATTCCTACATCACTCATAATCTGTGGTTAATTATAATCGTGTGAATCGATGTAGATTTTTTTGGAAGTATTATAGTGAGTTAATATAATAGCTGTATTTGGCAAATTGGTGCCATGGCTATAATTTTTATATATATGTATGTGTATATGTGTGTATATATGTGTATATATATATATGTATATATATGTATGTATGTATATATGTTATTTTTTTTTCTCGATGCTTGATGGCTCCACATATGGTTAAAGTATTGGTTAACCTACATCTAACCAATCAGTCAAGTAAAAGAAAAAAAAAATTTTTTCACTTTAAAAATTTTTTTTTCTCCAAGTAAGAGGGGAATGTAACGAGTCCGTTACTTAAATACCCATTTACTGCTTTGTCACTGGAATCCTTTAATTTAATTACAAATTAAATTCATTTCGAAATATTCTTAAACCAAACATTTAAATAACTTCGGTAAATTTTATTTTTAAAAGTTGGCATTAAATCCCGCCCTCTGTCTAAGACTCTGAAAATACATTGTCGTGACCGCCGAAGTGCCATGAGACCGGCACTTGCTTGGAATTCCTTGAGTTGAACAGACGTATTCAGGCGACTGAGAGAGTCCCTCGTTTAAGAGTTTGGTTTAAGTTTTATTTTATTTCGAAGAAACTGTTATTTTGTGGAAGAAAACCCAGTTGCTTATTTTATTTTGTTTTTGTTTTGGAGAAAATACATTAAGTTGGGATCACTCTCAGTCGGTAAGTTAAATTACAAATAAATTATATGTAAAAACACGTCCTATCATCCGCCATTGTTGGTGAAATTTAAATCTATTTATAATCCTCTCTCAAAATATAGTCTGATCCACCTATCTATCTATCTGCTATCTTCTATGTACTATTTCATTCATTTCATAAATACCTAAACAGATTACAAGTAATAAATTTTTATAATAACATCAAATTTTATTTCTTTACGAGGATGAAAGCCAACAATTATCTATTTCAATTCCATACCGTTTAAACCGGCTAATATTTCCTTGTTTTTGTCCCATTCTATGATGTATATAGCTTCCGTAAAAATCATCTATTTAATTTATCCGTTCAAACATTGTCAAATCTAAATTCCAAGGTTATTTTTTTTTCAGAAACCATAGTTTTTGCGTCAATTTAAAAGCAACTTTGACCTTTCTTGGTTCTTTTTTACTTTCTTGTACAAACAAAGGATTTTTAGTAACACAACTGTGTTTTTTAGCCTACGTCCGGAATCCAGTGCAGGTCTAGGGGGAAGGAAAAACTTTTTATTTAATTTTTGGGAATTGGAAGATAAGCAGTCATTTTTATTTAATTGGGTTAAGAAGAATTGTAAGGACTTAATTTAAAAGTACCTTTTTTTATATGGTGTCCAGGTTTGGCGTATCACCCACCTGCGACTAGTTCTTCCAGAGGATCTCGAGGGAAACCTGCAGAAACTAACAGGAAGAACTAATATTTTTTTGTCGATTTAAATATTTGTAGCAACTTTTTAACGTCCTCTTCAAGGTTTAACTTTTATTTCATTTTCAATTTTTTTTTCAAAATATATACTTAATAATAATTACATTCATTTTTATAAAATAATAGTCATTGTAAATTTAGTAAAACATTTATTGTCCACCAAGGGTTGAGGTTGTAACTCCCCTGGACTCTCTCGTTATCAGGTTATAGTGTGCACACATATCCGGAGAGGTTTATTTCATTTATTTGATAATTGTAACGTTTATATTATTATATATTTCTTTTTATATTATATACTTAACTATTGCATAACCTTAGTCAAAATTTCACATTATCAGGTACATTAGGGGGGGAAATTATTTCATCATTATATTCAGGGTTTTCATTGTAAATATAGATTAGTTAATTGTATATAAGAGGTGTTGGGTTATATTGTTATAGATAAGGGTTTAAAATAATTTGTACATAATATAGGTATTTATTAAAGTTGGGTTAAAACAATTTAAGATTTCACTTGGTACCTATCCTTTAATATTTCAGCAATACAAGATATCTTGGAAGAAAACATTCAACTTCCTGGCGCCCAAACATTCAGTAGAGCAACTTTATCTTTCTTCTGTTTATTTCTTGGTAGTTTCTAGTCATTAATTCTTACATTTTACGGTCTCTGTAGGGCATGCAAATTGGCCGAATCCCTCTTTGATTGTCAAGTGGTCATTCTCCTGCATAGTCGCTAGCCAGCATTAATTTTATTATATTTTAAAGTTCATATTTACCCTTTATTTATTTCTTTCATATAATTTATTTCTATCTAATCCCTTCCATCTTCTGTTATTCCAGATATTAGTTCGTTGGTGTATCAAGGTACATTTTAGAGTTTACCCTATTGCTACACTACACATTCTTGTTATATTGGCGCTCCAGCCAATCCATTTTGTTACAAATTCACGACACAATGGTACGCAGACGTCTCTTAGAAGGAGGGAGAAGAGCCGTAAGACCGCAGAAGAAATAAGTTCTGACAGCGCCTATGATGAAAAAAGGCTAAATTGGGCAAAAAAATACGCTCATTGGAGTGCAGAAGATTGGAGAAAAGTGTTATTTTCTGATGAGACCCACTTCCTAGTGCAGGGCCAGCGATCAAAATTCGTACGAAAGGCAGCCAATGAGTCACTTTCAGCTAGCCATATTAACCAAACAGTTAAACATCCCACCAAAAAATGTTCTAGGGCTGTTTTTCGTACTCAGGAACGGGCAATCTTATTCCTATTGAAGGTTTAACAGTGAAAAGTACAAAGTCATGCTAGGGCAACGCTTAGCTATAGAGCTTGAGAAAGTACAGGCCGAAGGGACTGCAATTTTTCAACAAGATTCAGCTTCTTGCCATGTATCGAAGTTTATGATGAAATTCTTCAAGGATAATAATATTACCCTTCTTGATTGGCCTGGGAATTCACCTGACCTTGATCCTATTGAAAATTTGTGAGCAATATGTAAGGCTAAACTGTAAAAATTTGACTGTATGACAAAAACAAAAAAATGGAAGCAGTGATTCAAGTGTGGTTTAGAGATGAGGCAATCACAAACAGTAGCAAAAAACTGTTTGATTACATGCCTAGAATAGGATTCCATGCCTAGAAGACTCCAGGAAGTCATAAAAGTAAAAGGGGGACATATTAAATAATAATTAATGAAAAAATCTCATGTAAGTGTACATAAATTTACCTATGGCCTAAATAAATCATATTTACAAATTAATAATGTTTGTTCACATTAATTCGCACAATACTGTAAATATTTTTTCTATGTCCTAATACTTAGTTGCCAACAAAATAAGCATTTTTTATTAATTAGTTCTGTTGGGAGTAAGTATATTCTGTTTTAAAATGTTGATTGAATGTATATTATTAGTATAATAATTATTAACTAATTACATAGTTATCAATTAAAAACATTAGAAAAAAAATCTGAACGTCTACTATCTGAATTGCGCATGTATTTGAGTTTATCCCAATATATAGTTGTTAGGCTATAAGTTACTTACCTTTCCTCTTCCCTAGATCTTCTTTTGTGCTTAAGGCGTAACTTAAGGGGTAATACTGGGGATCTGTTATCTCTTGGCGGTGCTTCCGGACTGCTATCAGATATAGGGATGAGTTCTGGTGGCGGAGGTTCTTCGTGAGATATTAAAATAGGCTCGTCGTCAGAATCTGTGTTCAAAAGATCTATAACGACAGGTTCTTGAGGACCCGTCGAACCTACTATAATGACGTCGCTATCATGACCGCTGTCTGAAATCTCATCTGAAAAAAGAATGTAATAGGTTAAAAAAGTATAGATAAAGAACTAAATTAAGAACTAAACCGTTTGCAGGCATCTGGTCTGTACATGATTCTCTTCTACATATATCTGTGTTGTACACAGATTTACAAAATTTTTCTTTATATTTGCAGGTGATTAAAAAAATAAGTACAATCATCGCCAGCTAACTTGGCCGAGAAAGAACGCACAACGTCACAGAGAAATAAATTATGTTTACGCCCTATGATTCATCCTATTTGTTTACTATTTCTGATAAGTATATTCAGTAGCGTAGCGGTATAGGTCAAATAATTATTACACAATTAAAAAAGTAATATTTTTCGCAAGCTTTAATATATTATTAGAAAGATGAAATTGTAATTTTGTTTTATTCAATTTAAATAGTAAGCCATTGGTTTATAATATTTATTAGTAGTTTAGTAACTTAGTAAACAAATTATACAATAATGACTGAATTTAATTCACAAATCTACGTTGATATTGTGTTTCAAATTAAATGGAGGATATTACATAAATAAATGCAACACAGTAATTATTTAATTTTAATATTTTGGTTTTATTATAACACTAAAACAAGTACACGTGTTGAAAAGTGGTATCTATTTGAAAATAAATTGATTGTTAATAATTTTCTTCATCTTCATCTTCGGAAGAAGAAAACTCTGTACTGGAAGAGTCACTGTCAAGACTTATAATAATTGGAGCTATTTGCGTGGCGTTATCAGCAACTATCTCGCTGTCCATATACTCATCTTCCTTCTTAATGACATGGTAACATCGTTTTCTCCATTCATTTGCATCAATATTAATGAATTCTTCCTCGGCGAGTTTTTGTACGTCAGCTAGCTTAAATGTAACGTTTTTCTGCCTTATATTATTTTTGACTGTAGCCCATATTAGTTCAATAGGGTTTAGATCAGGATGGTAAGGAGGTAAACGTAAAGGAATATGGCCATGCGCACGTAGAATTTCGTCGAATTTGTATTTTACATGATGAGGTTTATGATATTTAATTATTTCATACAGTTCAGGTTTTAAAGCACTAGGTGTAAATGAAATATTTTTCTGCATTAACCATTCTATCATTTGATTTTTGTTTGAGTTTGATGTAGGCGCCCCCTCCAACTGAATGCTGTGATAAGGTGCGTTATCAAAAACTAATACCGAGTTAGCAGGTAAATTAGGTAATAAATGTTCTTGTAACCACTTTCCATAGTTGTCTGAATTCATTTCAGAGTGGTAATCCCCTGATTTTGAACCTGATTTAAAGATTATTAAGCCATTTTGTATGAATCCCATATCCCCACCGGCATGCACTATTATTAGTCCTGGGAATACGGGAATACGGGAATTCTGGGAGTACGTTGACCTTTGGAAATATTTGAAAATAACCCTTTGGTTGATTCGTCAGTCCAGTTCTTTGAAGAAGTATGACCGCTGTGTAAGTAGGTCTCGTCAACATACACGATTGGCCTATTTTGACTCCGAAAATATTTGATTTGCCTGAGATACTTTATTCTCAAAGCTCTTATTGCACTTTTTTCTACAAGCACTTTTCGGTTGTTTTCGGTTTTCCTCCAACGAAATTGCATTTTGCGTAGAAGTCGCCTTAAAGATGTTTGTGAAATTGTGATATCCAAATCGTTGTGAATTTTTTGTTTTAATTTTTTTACCGTAACCCGACATTTTTCTGTTTTATAAAAATCGTAAATTATTCTGCGAATGTCGCTTATTTCGTATTCCGGCAAATCTATGATTGATCTACTGACTCGTTTTTTGCCTGGACTGGAAAAATGGACATTGCCGGTATTTTTCAAAGAACATTTTACCTCGCTTGTTATTCTTTCGATTGTTCTGATGGAAATGCCTGTAAAAGAATTAATAACTATAGTGATTTATTTTATCTAGGATGTAGGTATATAAAAATGTCTATATTTACTGCCATATCGAAAGACAGTACACAATATATTACACTAGTCCTAACTAATTTAAGTATGTAAGTAAGTGTGGTAAGTGTGGTAAGCTGTCAACATTATTAAGTATGTCAAATATTCTTCTATTTTTGATCTATTTTTATTTAATACAAGGTAGACATAAACAAACAAAATATTTCCACCAGTTGGAAGAAAATGCCTTATAAATAGAAATAGAACTATTGTGTTTTAAAAATAATAGATAATTAAAATGAAATAAAAATATAGAGTTATTTTTGGTCCAAATAGACCACCGTAGTGCGGTTTTGTTATTATTTAGAAGTCGTCTAATTAAAATTAATTTATTGTAAGTACAAACTTACCTGTTGCTTTAGCTGTCTTTTCTTTCACAGTTTTTAGGGTCTCTGCTTCGAGTTTAATATTTTTGAAATAATTAAACACATAAATATAATCTCCCGAGATTGTCCACTAATAACAGAATTATTCTTTCTACTATTTTTCAACGCCATCGTTAGAAATTGTCACAAATACACTTAAATATCCGAAATATTAAGAAGTCTGAAAAATAATAGCCGCAAATCACTTAAGTGTAACGCACCTGATAACTGGGAGGAGACTAAAGACCACCACCTAAGCCACTAAGCAATTTTGGGTTTGTGCGCACCGCCAAGTTAGCAGGCGATGACAGTACTGTAGGCTTCTTATTGTTACCGCCTTTTTTTAAATTTAAATTTGATGTTCTGTCAGGTTTCAAGGTGTAATGACAGCTGACATATGATAGACGACAAGAAGACTGTAAGACATAAAGTCGGAATAAAGTTGTGTGAACCATGTTGGTGTTTTATTTTTATTTTTTAAGAAATTGAAGACATCCTTTCTACAGTACCTAATGTATTTTATAACAATTTATAACAAACTTGAACGATATTAATTTGTAAGAGGTATTTTTATAAATAAACAAAAATGTATATACTAACCTGGAAGGGTAACCACAGATAAAGGGGATAGTGGTCTTTCACTGTATACCACCTGTCTGTCATACCCAATCATATCGAACCGCGATTTCATGAAACTGAAAAATTCGTGAATAAAGTGGTCTGTTCTGATATTGAGATGTTCCAAAAGTACATTTCGGAATGTTCTGCTGCAAATATGACGCTGCAATAACATATCCAGGATTGTATCTACAAGTCTCATAACCAACTGGGTGTTATCATAAAGAAGCGCGTTGAGTTCTCTGTTCAGCCAGGGTACCAGTCGATTGCGAGTTAATGGTGCTTGCCTAAAATTAAAATCGAACAATAACAATGTGTTAGCTGCACATGCATATTATATATATATATATATATATATATAATATATATATATATATATATATATATATATATATATATATATATATATATATATAAATTTGCAATCTTTTCTCAAATTGCAATTATACCGAACATCATTTTTATTTTATTCAAGTATTTAACTCAAGTCCAGAACTTATTGAGTGATGCGCTACTTAAAGAGGACTAAGAAAAAATAAACATGTTGGTAATTAACATTAATACTGAAAATAGTACATAAATAGTACTTTAAACGTTGATGTCTTATTAAACAATAGACATAGTTATTTATCTAGTTAAAACAAAAAACAATAAAATGTATACCTGAAATACTCTGGGGTACATGCCATGAAATTTCCATCAACATCTAGAGGTGCAATAGCCCATAAATTTCGTGTATAAACAGATCTGCGGAAAGCTGTTGTAGTTGGAATCTCGCGTCTTGAAAACTCACGTCTTGGAGTCTCACGTCGTCTTCTGTGGTATGAATGCCTATAAAAATAAACAGTTACAAATAAAACAAAATTTGCAAGTAAAAATTTATTAAAACAACTGACCCACTTACAATAAACAATTGGTAAATATCTGGTTTTTATTTTTCAACAGTCTCCATTATGAATAACACATTTTGCATCCGCACTCCAGCGTTTCATGTAATATAATGTTAATGTTATGATTCATTCAACCTGAACAAAAAGACGAAAGAAACAGAAGGCTCCTGTGAATCAAAAAGTCCAGGACACTTAACAAACGCTCAAGGAAATCCAATAGTTGATATTTAAGAAATAAAAACATAGAAGAACTATGTAACAACATTTGAAGGCAATAGGAGTATCAGTCCTTAAAATACAGTCAGCAAGACTGCTGAATTTTTCGGCAGTGGTGAATCACATTTTCTGTATTTTGGTCTCTACATCATACAGATGAATCTCGATCACATCCATTGCCACTAATGTTACAAAAACACTTTCTTTGTCTTGTTTATACCTAGATGACTGCAATGTTTTTCCAGTTTGCTTGTGCGCATCTGTTCACATTCTTGCTAACATTCCTCACCACTTCACTACATTATATGATTCTGCAGAATCCCCTAACGTATTCACCAAATCTTTATGAATTGGCATTGGAGTCATCTTCTTTTAAATATAAGTTAGAATCGTTCATAGCTGGACACGATCCATTTTCGTGGGATAAACTCAGTTTTTTGTTTGATTATTTGTTGTTGTGCGTCTTTTGGAAGAAATTTAATATTACAAAACATTTTTATATATTATTTATATAGCAATCAAAAATATTGGTTTTATCTTGATGAAAGAAGTATCGAAATAATTTATGTATACACACCTTTCAGGATATCCACTTGTACTGACTGAAATTTGGGGATGTGTCAAAAGCATTTGTTGTATCGCGTGTTCTCCATGAGTATCCACAGTAAATGTTGTCCTGAAACATATTCTTCACTTAAAATTGGCTTGATGATTATAAGTAGTAAAGTACTGATTTAACCTTTCATTTATATCTAAGGAAAAATAATGATTTTAAAAGAAGATATACTCAACTCACTGATCCCAGTACCAATTGTCTAATAAAGTTAAAGGGTAACAGAAAAACATATGGGGCAGTCAATTTTTGTGACAAAGTCAGTTATATCTGTTGATAGAAGATACCACAAAAAGTTATTTAGAAAAATGGGAGGTAGCAGTAAGCTTCACATTTTAAAATTAGTTACAACTATACAAGGTCTTCCTTATATATAACTGTCTACAATATATAACTATACTACATCAAAGATATGTTTTTTAAACGAAACAGCCCATTTAAAGAGCTGTAGCTATTTTGGTTATCAATGGTTTTACAAAATTTAAATATATTTTTAGTTGCAGATCTTCTGTTGAATGAAGGCATGACCATTGAAAAAAAAATAAAAGCCCTGCTCTGTAGTCTGTAAAAGGATGAAGCTATTTGTGATTGATATTATCCCATGAGATTATAACATGGGAATTTATGTTTTTGATCAGTTTCTTGTACATGTGATATGGCATTTCATAGAATAAAATCCATTGTTCACTCAAATTATTTAACACACAATATGTGATAAATAGAATGGCTTTAGTTTGGTAGAGGGACTATTTGAGTGGCAGTGGCATGTTGTATCTGTATGCTGATGACACTGGTTTTCTGTATGCCAATAAAGATAAAAAAAAAATTGGAAACTGATGTAGAAAATAACTTAGTAGAAATAGATGAGTGGCTTAACTATCACAAACTCTCGCTTAATATGAATAAGTGTAGTGATATGATAATTTCAAATGTAGATGCACATAGGGAGATGCAGTTGAACTTCAAATTTAATAAAAAGGAGATGATCAAATATCTTGGATTGTATATAGATAAACGACCTACTTGGGAACAACATATATTACAGATATGTCATAAAATAGCTCCAGCAGTGGGCATGTTACGAAGAATTACTAAATTTATAAGTTTCCCTCATTGTAAAATTGTTTATTATTCTTTAATAAACTCACATCTGTCTTATTTAACCATGATATACACCAATCACAAACAGCTTCATCCTCTTACAGTATTACAGAACAAGGCTATTACAGTTATGTTTTTCAACTGCCAGGCCTTCATCCAACAGAAAATCTGTACTGTCCAAGAAGAATACTCAATATTGAATCAATATTGAGTATTCGAGGCTTATGAAATGTTGAGAATTCTTACTGTACCAGAACAGCACAGTTCATTCTAGAAAACCTTAGATTCAGGAATAAGAATATCAATCTTTATAGAAGTCACGAAGATCAGCCCAGTTATGATACTAGGCACAAGCAGAATATGATACCAGCATATTGATGTTTGAAAAGATGTGAAAATGGACCAGAGTATTTGGCAACAACATATTTAAATCTTCTGCCTAAGAATATCAGAAACTTACCTGAAAAGGAATTTGAAAACAAAATTACAAAAATATAACAACATACAAAAATACAACATAATTTTAATTTTAATTGAGGTTTTCTACATATTTGTTGTGTGTAAGATTTTATATTTTTAACATCAATAAACAGTACTGAAAACATACCATTTGATTTGTTATGAGAAAGATACTGGAAGAAATATTATTCTGAAGCAATTTTCTTGTAGTATTTTAATATTACTAACTATTTTCAAAGGGAATTAACCACAACTAATTTCATGTAATTGAGTGAACTGTCTTTCAATAAAGTGGTCCAAGTAATGCACACCTCAAAGTATTAACAATATCATTTTAAAGTCATCTACTTCAAAATGTATAATTTCTGAGTTGCTAATATGAATGAGACATATAAGATTAAATTACTAGAAGAATTGTTGTATTACAAATCAAAATATTTGTATTTTCACAACGATTTCCTACGAGAAATTGAAACATCAAAATGTATTTTTGACTAAAATTGTGGTTAATTCCTATTGAAGATAGTAAATATTAATTGGAGAAAAGTGCAACAAATAATTAATACATAAATCAACTAAAAAAGCAATGCAGTAAGGTTTCAACCCTTAAATATCAAAACGCAAAATAGGCTTAAAATCATAAAATATAAAGTGATGAAAATCAAAAAACATACTTACAGGATTATTATGACAGTGGTTAAGATTTTGAGGGAGAAAAGGAAGTATTTACCCCTACAGCACGCCTCTGGTAACAGTGGAAAACTATCTTTTAATAGTAGTTAAGTTTGTCAAGTTTGAACAAAAAATATTGAAAGGTGTTAAAACAATGGGCTAAAATTATTTTAGAATATTTGTTATACAACACTCTGTATCTCAGTAAGTAGGAATATTTTATTTAAGTGCTTTAGGTGAATTCTACATATTTTGATTTGCTTATTGATCTTCTTATTGCTATATTACAAGGCTACGGATTTGGAGGAAAAAATGCTTGATTGGATAAGTAGTTATGTATCTGGTAGATGTCAGTATGTAAAATATGGAAATTCTTTATCTCAGCGAGTATCTGTGACCTTGGGATTTCCTCAGGGATTCCATATGGGACCTCTCTTATTTAATATATTAGTTAATGATATTTCATCAGCCATTAAAAGTAGTAACTTTTTGTTGTTTGCTAATGCTTTTGATTGCTAACGTTGGCTTAGTTGGTGTGACATTAATATGCTATACTTACTACTATTTAAAATGTCTTAAAATTACTTCTGGTAGATCAAGGGAGTTGGTAAATTATTGTTATTGTATATATAATGTACCTTTAAAGGCACATTATCACAGATAAATAATCACAGATTTTGGCATAAACTTTGATTTTAAATTAACTTTTAAATATCATATTAATGAAACTTCAACTAAAGCTTTAAAGACGTTGGGATTTATTCTTAAAAATTGTAATCAGTTTTCAGTACAAACTTTAAAACTGTTAAATGTTATATGTTTGATCAAACAGATCGAACCGAGTTCAATCCGTTTTGGAGTATGATTCTCTCATTTGGCCTCCTTCATATAATAGTGACTTCTACAGTATCGAGAGAGTTCAAAATAAATTTTTGAGGGTGTGTGCTTACAAAATTGGTTTAATCAGACAACAATATACATATGATGATATACATTCTACATTGTCTTCTTTAGAACCAGCCAGTCAGGAGAACAGTTTCCAGATACAATTAATTTTCTATTAGAAAACACGGAACCTGCTAGATCAGTTAAATTTCTTGGTATTCATATTGACCAGAATCTGAATTGGGGGGAACAAATACAAAATACAACAAAAAAACTGAATAGAGCCTGCTACTCATTAAGAGTGTTAAAGAGCTATCTAGACCAGGGGATTTTACTATCAGTATATTATGCAAACTTTTATTCTGTTATGCGATATGGAGTAATCTTCTGGGGTGCTGCAGTAGATATCTCAACTGTCTTTATAGTCTAAAAAAAGGTAGTCCGGGTGATCTTAGGACTAAAGGCAGGAGAATCCTGTAGAGGCTGATTCAAGTCACTCAATATACTCACTTTCTCAGCCATCTATATATTTGAATGTATTATGTTCCTTTTTAAAAAAATTTCTTTGTTTTATCACCTGCTTCCCAATCATGAATATAATACAAGAAGCCTTAATTTGAATTTGCCACTTAACAGATTGTCTATAACAGAGAGAAGTCCTTTGTATGCGTGTGTTAAATTTTATAATAGTCTACCATCTGACATTAAACAGGAAACACACTATAGAGCTTTTAAAAGAGAGGTTTTTCAACACCTAGTTGACATTGAGCCATATACTGTGGCGGAGTGCCTGGCCTATCCTTCTCCTTGATCAGCTTATTTAATTTGTAATGTTAATATATTTTAATGTGTGATGTCAATATATATATATATATATATATATATATATATATATATATATATATATAATATATATATATATATATATATATATATTTTAATCTGTAATTAATAATGTGACATTATTTGCTCAATTATGTTTAAAAATTTATGCAAATAAAAATTTACTCTACTCTACTCATTCAATACTTAATATCTTGTCGCTACATCATAGAGAATGAAGCAGATTTATGTTTTTTTTTTAAGATTATGAATGGATATGTTGAAGATCCAGTGTTACTAAGTTTAATAAGTTTTAATGTTAATACTGGAAGAACTCTTAATACTGAGATTTTTAACATTCTGTTTCATACTACAAACTATAGTCAAAATAAACCTATTACAAGAATGCTAAGAACTGCCAATGAGTACAGCAATAGTTTGAAGTTATTTGGAATACCTACAACAACATTTAAGAAATCAGTTAAGGTTTTGAGAATAATTATTAATTAAGTAATTACCTAATCAGGTAAGTTCCTAATTTAATTTTAATCTTAGTTTGATTTTTTTAAAACAACTTAAGTTTTATACAGGTTGACATTATATTTTTGTAAAAATGGTGTATTCATAAATAAATAAATAAATAAAATAAATAATTTTTTGTGCTCAGGTTTCTCCAGTTACTATATGGACCATTCTTAATGAAACAACCTGTATATATAGCTGAACAGGCTCTAGAGGCTCATGGCTTGGAATTGTTCCACTGTTTTCCTCCATTTCCTTCTGTCCATGAATATCCCTACTGTTTGTAGGTCTTCCTTACATGCTTCTTACCATTTTTTTCATGGTTGTCCTCTTCTCTTCATTCCTTCCCATCTAGCAGTTCTTTGCTCACCATACCATTCTCGCAAGATGGCCTAACCATCTAAGTCTCTTTGTCCTGACAATCTGGCTAACTTCTGGTTTCCCATACAACCCTCTGATCTCTGCATTTGTTTGTCTCCTCCATTGTTTACTGTCGTTAGACATATATAAAGTACATATATAGAATTACAGTCATTGGAATATACATCAGAATATGGTTTTACATTAGTGTAGGTCAATATATTATTCTTTATACTTATGGTATGATATTGGTCAAATAAATCCATAAACTGATATGAAATAAATACAGTTTTTAAGATGTAATTAGTGCCAAGCATTTAATAGGGATAGATAAACCTACCTAAAATGAAAGTGATGTCTGGTGGGTGGTAGAGCATTGGGTAAAAAAGTATTATATTCCCTAATTTCCTCAACATGTATTTCCTCAGCAGGTAGGTCATTAGCAAGTATATCCACAACATGTTCATCATATTCCCCATTATTTTTAATATTATGCAGTATTCTGGTAAATGGCTGCTTGCAAAGAGGGCATTCTGCTTTTATCTGAAAACAAATTATAAAAATATTACCAACGATAACTACACAAATACATATGCCATTTTCCGTAATGAAAACTGTACAGAATAAATTTGTTTGTATTTTGTTAGCACATTTGAAGAACCTTTTAAGTTATATGCATTAATGTATTTAAAAATAAATCATTCTGGGCAAAACTAAATTCAACATAAATAAAAAAGGAATATCTGTGTAATAGATACCTAATTAAACCTTAATTTAACAACCACTAGACTCACCACAAACCACAACTATCAGGGTTGAAAAAGAACATGTACTTTTTAATTATATACAAAACACATGATTTTTTTGTTTTAAACATTTTTTAACCCTTAGTTAATGGATAATACTTTAAAGTACCACTTATTTACCACTTATCTGACTTAATTTTTTCCTGTAGGTACTTTAAGGTACATTTCGTCGGCATACTGCCAAATCTGACCAATTAAAAAAATCTCATTTTGATGTTTATTGATCAAATGACTTAAAATTATATTTTTACAAATGCCCAAGTTGCAATATAAATATGGTTGCCTAGTTTCAGGTATGCCTTCGAATGCTTAAGTCACAATTCTGATATTCTCTACTGCAAATAGTGACCAAGGTGACTTGGTCACTTTTTTCGGTAGATAGTTGTTAAACTTGTCTGGTCAATTTAACTTAAGTAGACGTTACATATAAGTATACGTAATTTTGTATCGAATACTTAAGTCACAATTCTGATATTCCTTACTGCGAATAGTGACCAAGGCCACTTGGTCACTTTTTTCGGTAGATAGTTAGTAGATATACTAGTCATAAAACCATTGTTATAACTCAAAGAAAATTAAAAAAATGTGTTCCAGGGGAAAATACAAATAACATCCTTGTGTGCAACAAACACAACAAATGAAAGTGAAGTAAACATTACAGGTATGTAATTATTGATATGTACCAAAACTCAGTGCACTTTCATGTTCAGTAGACATGTAATACATGCCAACCACTTGTACAACACTGTACTTGTCATTTCGTTTGACTTCTAAGGTTTAACTAGAATCACTAGCACTAGACAATTGTAGTATCACACTTAAATGAGACAATGCTGATCTTTTGAGAACTATGTCCCAGGCATGTTTGCATATCTGTGATTTGTCAATGTCTCTGTTTTTTATGTATGTTTCATGTTTGTTTATCCTGACACGTAGTGGCCTTGCAGTTTCTCCAAGATAAAAATTATTGCATTCACAGGCTATTTTATAGATGAAGTTCTTCGATCTCTCTTGTATGTTGCTAGGTTTGTTTTTAGACAAAATTGATTTCAGTGTATTGGTTGTTTTGAATGTTGTTGTCACATTGTATTTATTTCTTATCATTTTTAATTTTTTTGATAAGGCCTTTACACATGGTATTGTTATCATCTTTAAATCCTTTCTTGTGGGCATTTCTGGATTGCTTGTGGTGTTTTGTTGTTTCGTTTTTTTTAATCTTGTGAAATTCATTATTAATAAATGGCCAAGGGTAAATGTGGTTTGAGTAATAATTTAAATATTTTTTGGTGTGGGTTGGTAAGCATTTGTTGGTACTGTAAACTTTGGTTGCATATCTTGTATCCTCTTTTGTGATTAACACATCCAGAAAACGAAGTGAGTTGTTCTTTTCTCTTTCTATGATGAATTTAATTGATTCTTCTTTACTGTTAATGTCCATTAGAAATTTATTCAATACTTCTGGATCATGCGGCCAAATGGAGGCAGCATCATCCATCATCCACATGTCTCCACTATACTGAAGGTTGTGGGCCATGTTTATGCAAAAAAATGTTTCATTTGAATTCCTTCATGGAAATATTTGCTAAGAATGGAGATAAGGATGAGCGCATGGCTAATCCCAGAGCACATATTTACAATAAAAATATTAGAAAAATAACAAGAAAAAAATGGTTAATTTTGTAATCATTAATTATAATCAAAAGCATTATTCATAAAAGAAGGTCTGATATGAGGTCCAATATTCATAATAATATGGACAAAATAAGAAAGAACACAAGTTAAAAAGAAATAAAGTATGATAAAAGAAATATGAAAAGTATATGAAAAATATGTCAGAACAGGGATTCCCAAATATTAGATGTATTATAGTCATGATTGTTTATACATATGAAACAACTACAAAAAAACTGGTATATAAAAGAGAAGTAAATGTACAGTAAATATACATTATTTTTACCACAATTTTGCTGCAATATTTAGTACTTACTATCATAACTCTAAGTGGTACACTAATATGGCTTTTGTTAATACATTACCTCCTCTAAAACGTTCTAGAAAACTATATGACATCTATATTAGATGAGCAATATTTTTTAATCAACAATATTGGTTAATTACCAAGTATTTTTTTACTTACCTTTGACCATTCCAAAAGACATTTGAAACAAAATTGATGCAAACAAGTATCAGAAACACACTTATTTGAGAATGAACCCAAGCAGATTGCACAATTTGGAGGAGGACTTGAGGAACTAGGACGTTTTATGATCAGTCGACTCTCCGCCATTCTTAATTTCTGATTTATTTTACACCGAAAAAATATTGATTCTGAAAAACAATCTTTCTAACTACATTTGTCATAACCATATGACCTTGTAGATATGACTAGTAGATAAATAAATATTGCAAATTTTGCAAGAAAGTTAATTAAGAATGTTTGCAATAATTTCGGAACATGAAATTTTAACTACAAAGTTTTAAAAGCAAAAAGAGAACAACTGTAACAAAAGAAATTGATAAAAGCTTTCCGCCATATTACACTAGGGCACTCAGCACTAAACACACAGAACAAGGCAAAGGCAAACGCAATCGCACTAAATAGTTGTTCGGTGTTAAATAGGTGAACCATGGTCCATGACAGAAAATTGATTCTTCCTTTTTTACTGTCAGTAGACCTTCACCTTTAGAACAGCTAGCTACTTTTGTATTTTTTTTTCAGAGCAACCTATATTATTTTTTATTCTCTTTCAAATCTAAATACTCAAGCCCATTTCAAGCAAGAATAAAAATGGAATGTTGAAATGTCATCCAAAAAATACAACCACTAAGCTTTTAAAAATAAATCTCAAACTGGACAGTCTTATTTGTTATTTAGCTATGGTTCTACTCTACGGACAATTAGAAGAAATATTTGACAATTTCCCGAGAAATTATATCAAGGATGTAGTAGGCGACATGAATTTACAAATAGAAAAAAAAATTGGCAACTGCTCCATCAAAACACCGTTGAGAACGGCTTATCATAGTCTTCAATCAACTTTTCTACTACATTATAACAAAATTTTATTATGTGCTAGGTTTTTATCCTAAAGGAACTAAAAAAAGTATAAATCAGTTAAAAATGGAAAGCCTGCTGGTATAAACGACATGAGAACCAAGAAGATAGCAAAGCCCTGGTGAAGATCTCAAGTGATCACCTTGCTGAAACCCAGAAAAGATCCAGTAGAACTAAGCAGTTACAGACCGAAAAAAGACAAAATGCATGCTTACAACAGCAAATTTACTAAGATGTAAATTGGAGCTGGAAGGTCAGATAATAGAAGAAGTGATGGAGTTTAAATATCTAGGCATCACATTATCTAGCTACAGAAAGCTCAAAACTGAAGTGGAAGATCAAGGGAATAGAGCAAACAGTGCCGCATGCTGCCTGAATGAAACAATATGAAGAAATAAAAATATCGGAAAAGAAATGAATGACAAAATTTATAAAACAGTCATCAGACCAATAATAACATACGCGGCAGAAACAAGACTTGACACAGAGATGACAAAAAGGATGTTAGAAACAGTAGAGATGAAAACACTAAGAAACATTAATGGCAAAACACTATGGGATAGAGCTACGATGAGATACAGAGTACAGAGATACGATATATATGCAAGGTGAGGTACATCAGGCAAAGTAAGAATATCAAGAACTGTGTAAGAAATAGGAGAGTAGAATGGAACGATCATACAGGCCGAATGACAACAAATAGAGTAGTAAAGACGGCAAGAGACGGTTCCTCAATAAGAAGACGATCATTTTGGAAGACCACGAAAACGATGAGATCAGTAGAAAGACTACGAAAACGATGAAACGGCAAATTACTGGAGGTACATTGAAAAACAGACAGAGTCATGTCTATATAAGAAGAAGAAGTTTTAAAACTTAGTACACAATTTACATCCTAATATATGTAACATAAATGATAATAGTTAGATTCGAAACTAGAATCCGACTCATTTCTATTTATATTATTGTTGAATTTATTGGACGGCCCAGGTGCATAATCTGGATCATTCTCACTTTTGGCAAATACCATATGTTTACATCTATCGCTGTTCTGGCTAAAACATGCTGCATTGCTACAACCAGAAAATATAGACGCATGTGCGTCTATATTTTTTGCTACTACTATAAACAATAATTACGATCAGTTATTGCTTATACCTAAGGTAACATTATTAAACTTACCCTTCATCCATTTCTCACAATATATTTACTTAAAATACCAAAAAGCATGAGAGCTCCCAATGTCTGACAATAACAAATACCTTTTTTAATTAATTATTTGAAGTTATGTTATAAACATGCTTTATATCATACTACTCAAAAATTGTCCTAACTGATGCCGCTTAGTATAAAATATTAGCTTAAATAGTCCTAACTGCATTTTTAAAGTTAAAATGGACAATTTTTCTTAGTATATGTGAGATAGGACAATTTATGTTAGTGAACATGGCTTTTTAGTCAGTTAGGACAAACCATTTAGGTATATAATAAGGCACTTAAGACGCTTATAGGACAATTTCATTTTGTACATACATATATAATATGTTTACTCATGCCATGAGCCAATAAAGTCATTTTACCAAATTTTGCAGATAGGACCTTTCATGTTAGGGCGGTAGAGCTATACATAGATCCAGACATTGGGACATTTATGAAGGTGCAGATACTAAGATGCACTGGACACATTGCTAGAATGTCAGATAATGAGTACACAGAGATTAACATTTTCAAACTCAGAAGATAGAAAAGTCTAAGACAGCCAAACAGAAGATGGATTGATGATATGGAAGAAGACCTGAAGATTCAAGGGTCATAAGATGGAGGGAAGTTACTAGTAATCAGCAGGAGTGGCGACTTTTCTGAGAGCAGGCCAAGATCCACAAAGGATTATCAAATTGATTATTAAGATGATGAAACTATCGCATCTTCAAACTTTCAAATAACATTAGGAAGTATAACATTATATGAATTACATAGTTAATTATTATTCTCTGATTAACCTTATTAAAAAAATGCTTTTTAGACTACAGAGGCCTCACTTAATATATGTGGAATAACATTGTTTAAAAACGCTAGGTATAAAGAATATAAATATTACATACAAATGCCATAAATTGCACACTTGTGCCAAATCATATACTTTAAGAGGAATAAGTACTTATAAGTAAAAAATAAAACAGGCACTACTTAATCTTTTTATTTTTAAAAATATATACATTTTAAATATCATCACTTAGTTGATTTCCAACTAATTGAATTTTTTCACCTGGCTTGAACGCTGGCATTCCCAAATATGGACAAGTAGCACAACGGAAGGCATCTCCCAGGTAACAACTACCACATGATGATTTAGGCGCATCCTTTGTATCTATTATTTTGTTTTCACTTACTTCTTGGGCTAATTCATCAGCTAATCCACATGAACAATCTTTACATGCTTTTCTTTTTCCAGTAGTTCCACAAACTCTTAATGAGGCCAAATCTGGTTTTTGCAAGTCATCCTCATCTAACAAATCATCTGGATCTATTGTTTCATCATCTGCATCATCCAATTTCCACACTGCTTGGTTGGCTTTTGGGGGAAGTTTAATTTGGGCCGAAGAACGAGACTTAAAACTTGGTTTGCTAGCTACTACACAATTTTCATACACCTTGACATTCATAAACCCTTTCATAATTAGATTCAATTTTGCCTCATCTTTGTTTGAAATTTGTGTAATTACGATATGCCCACCTGGAACCAACAATTTCAACACTAAACTAATTAAATCACCATCTTTGTTTCCGCAACATATAGAATGAACTGATTCTTGCTTTAAGTTGCAAATTTCTTCCTTTGAACATACTCGTGACTTCTTGAAACGATTTTTTAGACTTTTAAATTCATCTGTTTCATCAAGTCCTTGTAAAATTAAAATCTCATGTGTTGCAGTCAGATCTTCCAACGAATCCATTTTATGGTTTAATCTTTTCTTTAAACACTTATGTTTTCGATTTTACGACAATTTATGTATGCTACGTGACTATTTGCAACTTGTAATCTTGTAATTTTGTAATCAAAATAATTACTGTCACACCTGTCACTCGCACAACTGATGTCACATGTCACACCACAGGACACTCATCTAGCAGTGTCAGTCACGTGTTAACGGGTAAAACGATGATTAGTGCATTGCCTAGTGCCAGGGTGCGTAACTATATACATACATGGCGGTAAATTCCAAAGGCGGGTTGTAAACTCATTTCTTGGTTATTCCCATCGAGCAAAAAGACAATAGAGGGAATGTAAAGGTAGTGGGGGCAAACATATTGTTAGACAGGAAGTGCGATCTTTAGAGGCCACATTAAACAAGGAAAGAGAGTCTCTCTCCTTGTTTGACATCAAATTTAGTTGAGTTATGTTATTGTTTGTCCCAAATGTCACATGAAATCTTATTTATATTGAAGTTTTTTAACAATTGTGTCGCATTTTAGACTCTTATCATTAATAATTAATTAAAACTTTCTCGTCTAAGACACATTCTACGAAATATTATATAGCTACTGTTGATAAGTGTCGGAAAATTTAAATTTGGCGCATTCGCATTTCCGGATATGTCCGCCATCAGAGGCTACTTTTTTGGTCTCCTTTTCATAAGGATTAGATTCCCTCTTTTGTCTTATTGCTCGATGGTTATTCCACAGAATAATAAACAAACAGAAGGGCCACTCTCAGATGCCGCCTTTGAAGTTTTTCAGCACGCGCGCCATGTTTTAGGAGGACACAGACATATGATTTGTGTGGTTATGTAATTGTTTATATTTATGTTTAATTATATTATATTTATGTTATTATATTTAACAATGTTAATATAATTGTATAGTATGTCTATGATTGCCGTAAGTCAAATAAACCTGGTTAATTTTTCCATGCACACCACATAAACACTAATTTCTTTAAAATCCTCCTAAAACATGGCGGAACGTCTGCGCGGAGGAGATGCGCGTACTTAATTTTCCGTGGAGAGTGGGTATTCTGTTTGTTTATTATTCTGTGGTTATTCACTTAATCCAATCTTTTCTGTGCTTTAGGCACAGAATAAAATAACAATCAGAATGCCAATGACGTATCAGAATGCAGACTCTCAGAGATGCCTCCTTTGAAGTGTGTCAGCACGCGGGCGCCATATTTTAAACGGAAACATAGATCGGATTGAGAAATTTGTGACAAGCAAGGACAGAACTGTAATTTAAATTTTTATAATTTAGTTAATTTGAAATTATTTAATGTATTCTTCAACTAGTGAATAAAATAGTGCATAGTATGTCTATAGTTGCCGTAAATAAATTAAACCGGGTTAATTTTTCTATTCACACCAGATACAATGTCACTGAACCACTGGTTCTGTTACTTATCTTGACAAGCAGAGTGGGCATTGTGATTGCTTATTATTTTGTGCTTTAGGATTATATTTTCCCAATGAGTGCAATCCTGGGTAAGTTTACATCCCTTTTGAATTTACCGCCATGCATATATAGTTACGCACCCTGGCACTAAGCAATACGCCAATCGTTGTTTACTTGTTAACATGGGACTAGCACTGCTAGGTGGGAGTGTGCTGTTCATATGACAGATTACCGACACGATTGTTTCAAAATATCAATATATTAAAATGTTACAAATTTAAACAAAAATGTTGAAATTTTCAAGTATTGGTTTGATTAAACAAACACATTTCAAATTATTCAAAAGACTTTTATCAAAAGCGCAACTTAAAACAAATGACTTTATTCTTCTGAATCAAAATTACTTGAAAGATGAGTATACAAATATCACTGACAAAGTATCAGGATATATTGGAAGAAATATTTACTTACAATCCTCTAATCCTTTGAATTTAGTGAGACAAAGGATAGTGAACTACTTTTACAAAAAATATGTAAACAGACGGGGAAACCCTATCTTTTCTATCCATGATAACTTACCCCCTATTGTCAATGTTACCCAAAATTTTGATAGTTTACTTATACCCAAAGATCATCCTTCAAGAAATAAAAGTGACTGTTATTATATAAACAAGAAGTTCTTACTTCGAGCACACATGACAGCCCATCAAAGTGAGCTAATTCAGTCAGGTTTAAATAACTTTTTAATTATAGGAGATGTGTACAGAAGAGACGAAATTGATAGAACACATTATCCTGTTTTTCATCAAGTAGATGCTGTTAGACTGCGTTCTAAGACTCAAATTTTTTCTGATGATAATTTACATATATTTGAAGAAGGAACTAACACTGCTTTTACAGGTAAAAGTGATAAAATTGATATTGGTTGTAGTGTATTCATCAATTGAACATTTTAAGAGTATACATAAGTCAATTATTGTACCAAAATTGGATATTAAATACTTTTGACCTAACTTTCAGACAAAGGGTATTTATGTAAGTTTTTGATTATTTACTAACAATGTTTATTTCAGGCAATCAAGAAAAACAAGCATGCCATACCTTAGAGGCAGTGAAAGTTGTAGAATTTGAACTAAAGGATACCTTAGTTGGCCTTGCTAAAGCACTTTTCAAAGAAAACACTAAGTACCGTTGGGTAGACACAACTTTTCCATTTACACAACCATCTTGGGAGTTGGAGGTCTTTCATAATGAACAATGGATCGAGGTAAATGAATATTTATATATAAAAACTATCCCAAAATAATTAATTAATTTAAAAAATACTTGGATGTCTATAAAACTTGCCAAAAGATGCCACTTTGGTAAAATAAAACATTTTCAAAATGTATGTAATGTTTTGTTTGAAATATTTATATATTGTTCTAGGTTCTAGGATGTGGTATTATGCAACAAGCTATTTTAAATAACGCTGGAGTCCATGATAAAATCGGTTGGGCCTTTGGTCTAGGGTTAGAAAGGATTGCTATGTGTCTATATCAAATCCCTGATATTCGTTTGTTCTGGTCATGTGATTCAGGCTTCCTAAACCAATTTAAAAACAAAAATGTTAATGATGATATTGTTTATACCCCCATCAGCCAATACCCTCAATGTAAGAATGACCTAAGTTTTTGGCTACCACCAGGGGAGTTTTCTGCAAATGATTTTTATGATTTAGCCCGAACTATAGGTGGTGATCTGATAGAACAGATTGAGTTGATCGATGAATTTAAACATCCAAAGACTGGAAAAGTTAGTCACTGTTATAGGATTACATACAGACACATGGAGAAGACTTTAACACAGGAAGAAGTTGGTGTTATACATAAAAGTATAGCTGATGGTGTTAAAGAATTGGGTGCCACTATCAGATAAGGTTTAAAATGTTTACAGTGTAATGTTTTTGTTAATAAATTTTTTATTGTTTTAATAAAAATCTTTTCACTTGATTTGTTAAACAAGCTTATACATTTTTATATACTTAACCAATAATGGGTGAGGATGTAGGTAAGTGAGAGTAAAAAAATGTTTTGATATATACAAGCTGTATGTATATGTAGATCATATATCATATGAATAGATAAATATTTATTCTGTATTCTCAATGTATGTGGTAGCTATTTACCTTAAAAGAATTTAGTATATTGTATTGATTCAGGTTGTAAGATCTTCTTTACCTCTGTTGCGTGTTTGTAAGTGTTGTCACCTGATATTCCTTAAAATCATAGCAGTATAAATTTAGGTGATGTATAGAAGTTTTGTCTTGGATCCCTACTGGGTTTAGTGTTTTCAGATGATATCTTGGAAAACACTAGAATAGTAAATTTCTTGTAGAACTTTCTAATACTTTTTGTTACAATAATCATCTAATTGTTTATAGTATCGCAGGTTCAAATTTGAGCTTTTAAACATATGTTACTTAATTATCTTTTACCTCTGAATGACCTGAAGCTCATGGAATAGTAAATCCATTGTCTATACTTCTATGTTCATTTAGTTTTATAAATCACCCCCATATCAATTTAAAGCTAGGCATCATATTGTTGGCAAAACTCAAAATTAAAATTTCATGTTTTTAGGTTTTGAAGATTAGGCTCCAACAATGAAAAGTGATAAATTTGCGCCAAAATACAAAGTTGTATATAAAAGCTGTACCTTTTAAAATGCATTTTGATTTTTATTGATAGGACACTCTAATCAAAATATATCAAATTTTTACCGTCGAGTTGATCTTCTTCGCGTGCCATATCAGAATTATCCGACGTTGGCGATCACCATTGCCAAGGCTTCTCGATCTTCACGAATGTTCCTCAACCAAGAAACCCGTTTTCCTTCCTACACCTCTATTTTGCCTTTAAGGATCAGTTGTAATATTTTATATCGACTTCCCCTTATTATATGTCCCAAATAAGACATTGTTCGATGTTTAACAGTCTTTAGCAGTTCTTTACTTTTGTTGACGCTCCTTAGTACTTCTTCATTACTTGTCCTTGCTGTTTTTTTTATTTTTTTTTATTTAACGTAATTAACGTGTCTCGACATCTATGGCCATTGACACGGGAAGGTATCTTCGACAGTCGTCTATGAATCCACATTTCTAATGCTTGAATTTTGTTCATGATCGATACTTTTAACGTCCACTATAAAAAAGTACGGACCAAACATAGCACTTAACCATTATTTGTCTTAGTTTTTAGATGATTATCGCAAAGAAATGACTTCATTTTCATAAAAGTAGTTTGTCATTGCTATTCTGTTTTATTTCTATGTCTGGATAGAGTTGGTCCGTTATCACAGTTCCCAAATATGTCATTTTTTGAACTTTCTCAACTTGGACTCCATTTAGTTGAAGCTTTGCGTCGGGATGTGGTCACGACTAAACACTAAAAATTTGGTTTTGTTTGAGTTTATGTTAATGCCCATTTCCTCTCCTATCTCGTGAACACGATCAAGCAGAATTTGGAGACTTTCAATACTATCTGACAGAATTACTGTATTGTCTGCGTATCTATTCACATTAAGTAGTTCCCCGTTGATTTTTATTCCATATGGTTGTCTCTCAAGTGCCTTTTTAAACAACTGGTCCGAGTAAACATTAAACAATGCTGGTAACAAAATGCAACCTTGTCTGACTCCTCGTTGTATGG